TTCTATAAAAAGAATAGAGTAAACCCTTGATACATTACACATAGTAACTAACTCCTTCAACAATCCCGGAAAAAAACTAACTCCTTCAGCAAAAGGGTTAAGCAGACATCAAAATCAAATGATGTTAACATTTCGTGGAGTGACGGGGCAGTGGCGAAGCAGGCATCCGAATCATACTTCGACCCGTTGGATGAACACGAGCAAAAAGCATGGAAATATACTTTTTGGCTAAAGAAAAGGCAGGAGAAAGGTATATGAACGAAAGACGGACGAGGTGAGCCGCCACATGACACTCCCCTCTTCCATAATTCTGTTTGCTAGATCACGCTTTTGCGAAACTAATTTAATTAGTCACGGTGTTAAGAAAATGAGTACGTGTGGTACATGGCCATATGCTATATTAATCACTCTTGTAAGCTTATTAAATGAGAGTTGTTGGTGGCTCATGTGCACATCACCTTGCTCTTATCTTTCTAAACACTTCTAAAAATAACAAATGAACTAACGGAAACACTCCTAAGCTCTTTCAACAAAAACAATTTAATCACTTACTTAAAATTCTCTAAGAAAACTAGGCATAACAAATGGGGGAAAAATGCCTGCTACTCAACTCAAAAGAAAGCGACGCGAGAACTGAGATATTGAAAATGATTTAACATGAATGGTTGTGTATGTTTTTTCTAGCATAACATGGGTTCTTAGTTTATTGGGCTTAGGTGATATCTGTTTAATTATGATTAGGCGTAGGTGATCTCTCTCTTAGTAGCATTCTTTTTTCCCTCTTTTTTTACGTTTTTCTTGGGGGGATTTACATCACTGTTCCAGCTAGATATGCATGGTCCTGGCTAGCCTAGCAGCCTGCATTATGGCTTCATCTGCATGTGTTTTGCTTCTGTTATGTCTATATTGTTTGCACCTGGCAGTAGGTCACAAATCGATGTCGGTGCCACCTTGTGCAGTACCTAAAATCTGTCTGTATTTGCAGCATTTTGGAATGCACATGCATGCATATTTTTAAGCCAATTAGAACTGGATCTAGCATGATGCTATTTCAGCATTTCTCACAGCAGTGTCCATGTCTTTGTTTCAATCAAGAAAAGAAAAAGGCAGTGTCCATGTCAACAATAAATTAGTTGCATCATATCAAATCAAATGTGGCCTGTGCTTTAAACGCTCTTATATTTCTTTACGGTGGGAGTAGTATACATCATAGTTAAGTACAGTAGTTAACTATATTATGTATGGGCAACTGCATGTGGCCTGTGCTTAGTAAAGAGTAAGACAGTACAGTGGACAACGATTTAATAGGTAGCCGGTCACACAGCGCAGTGGTGGTGATCACTGTCTGTCAAATGAGTTAATTAGTTGAGAGTGGCTGCCACTGGTGGGTCTAGAGGAGACATCAGCTGCATCACTGGAATAGAAACACTTATCCTAACATTAGGTGGGGATCTAGATCCAGATATGTGGCCAATCTGTTTAGATCATAACTGAAGTCAGGAACATATGTCTGCTGCCCAGTGATCTTGCCAAAGCAAAAAAAGATGGATATCAAGCATTTCTGATAACTATAAAGAGCAGTGAAAATGCTAAGGGTATGCCTGGCTTTAATATTTGTGGCCCTGTTGATAAGTAAGCAAATGTGGTGGGAGAAATATGTAACTCTGGAACAACTATTGGGAACTTGAACTTTAAAAAAAAAAGCATTGCTCAGTCAAACTACACCTTTATATTTTTCCCCGCAAAGGGAAAAAAACTCCACCTTATATTTTGAAACAGATGTAATGAGTAATAACGGTGCAACATTTGCACAATAAATACACCCAGGAAGAAATGGGATCAAGAAGATTGATCCCGTTGCAATCTAGTGCCCCTTGAAGGTTTTGGAGATTGTTGGGCAGACGCTACTGAACATGTGAATGTCCAACTCACATTAACATGTGGGCAGAGGCTACTCAACATGTGAATATCCAACTCACATTAACACAGAGTAATTAATCCTAGGCCATGCTAATTCATCTATAAATTCATATGGTGCACACATGTCCAAATCAAGGTGGTTCCTCACACACCCCACCATGATGGATGGTATGGTAGACAGGTCCACAAGATGTTTTCCCCCTTAATTTCATCAAATGTTAATCTTTTTCTTGTCTTGACTTAATGGTAGGTGAGACCCTTGATGCTGATGTTCTGTCTACTTTCTAGATTCATGGGAGCAACACATTTCCATCACGGTACTGGAGACACTTTTTCTTCTCTGCAATGAACAATAAACAAAGATACAGAGGGGAGGGTAGATACAGCTCAGAATGACAGAAGTTTGCTAGATTTGGACACTGGAGGAAGGCCTAACTGCAATAGTTTAGGTTAAATAAGATCTGCATCTCCATGACCCAACAGTTACCAGGCAGCTTCCATATGCAGCTTAAAATATATAACCAATTCCAGCTATTACTGCCATGTTGTCTGTTACTAGTAAGCAGCCAAGAGGCAATACAAGTGACATGTCCAACTCACAGTGATAGAGGAAAATAACAAATGAATTACTGCTATTGATGTGCATTGTCAGTAGTGCAGCAAGTGGCCTGCTGCTGGTGCAGCTAAAATACAGATTGCCCCAATTACTCCATCTCCTTATCATAGACTTCACTGCCGCAAGTGGGCTTCGATTTTGATATATTCCTCTTTATCTTCCCAAGAACATATTCCAACAGAAAAAGAAGAGTGGGTAGTTTGGGATGCGAAAAAGAAGGACGAAAAATTCCAAAAATCTCTAGCTTGTGGGACGCGTTGTATCGAAGAAGATGATATCCCGCAGCTCGCAGCGGCTAGCACCGGACCACCGGAAAAGATCACGGTCCCGGGCATCATGGCTCGCCTTAACTCCGAGATCCGACAAAAAAAGGGCGAAAACAAACCGGTTTCCGCGCTCGAGAAACATGAAAAATTTGACAACCCACACACACCCACACAAAATATCCTAATGCCAGGAGGCCAATGATCTAGAACCCCAAACAATGGAGTTTACAGTAACATACACATATATCATGCATTATCCAGCAGGAAAAAGTGTATGATTCTGAGGGTGGAACATATCACCTCAGGCTTTCAGGCTCACCCTCCCAAGGTGTGATCTGGTTCAGGCATTTCCTGCCCCCCATTGACAGGCCTTATCCTTCCCCAGGCCAATGGAGGACACAGATTCCCATCCCCTCTTATTAGGTGGTGAGTGTGACCAGCTGTGTGCAGTTATAGTGAGAGGGATGCAAAGTTTGTAATCTAGCATAACATGTTATGTGGCTCTATCTGGTGACCACATGGTGCCCAACTGTCAAACCAAGGAGGGTTTTCAGCAAATAATTCGGTTTCTAGCTTACTTCCAGCTTGCCATTTAGAGGAGACTTTAGTCCTAGGCGTATATTTCCGGGGTTATTATGCTATGGACTTCGGTCGGGGATGGCTGCAAAAAATATGATAAATTTCCCGTAACACGGTTGAAATTGATTTTCGCCGCAGGTTCAGAGCACGTGTCAGGATTGATATATTCAGGTCCATTTCATAGGAGTAATATAATATTCATGTCAAATTCAACCTACTCCTATATGACTAGACTACACCAGATGGACACCAAGTCATGGTGATCTACTTAATAATACTTAAAAAAAATGGGGAGATACTAAGAAGGGTATTCACATTCAGAAAGTCTCTCTTATGATTAGATAATTTACCGAATTCGCAGTCCAAATTGATTTTTACTACAGGTTTTAAGGCACGTGTCACGAGACTGATCCAGGTCCATTTCATGATAATTCTATACTTACTTTTCATGTCAAGATCTACTTACTCCTGCATGACTAGACTACAAAAGTATAGGTGTGTTGCTTGTAGTCTCTAGATGATGGACACCAAGTCAAGGGTAATCTACCTAAACAAAAGCAAAATGAGGAGGCATCAAGAAGGGTGATCACATTTACACACTGTGTACAACAGATAAATTATAGTAAGCACTAGGAGAGGCGTGGACGTCTGGATCTTAAACCACCTCTTCATGCCTATCTGTCTTGCCTCCAAAGTATGTGGTCATTTTCAGTATCCAGAAAAGAGGTGCAGATATCCAATGGAGCTGGTGGCAGACCAACCTTTATTCTCTCTCTCTGGGAGAGATGCACACATGTCCTAAAATTACGGTCATCCGAAGTCTCTCTTATGATTAGACAAAAGGTTTTACAGAACTACCAGGAATCAGTTTCTAGTCACTTCCGTACTTTGCAATTTGCAAAATAGGTTCCATATCATGCTATCAAACTACTAGGGTGCACCAAGAACCAACCAAGGTGAGGCGCAATCATGCCCTGCGAGTGAGACACGTCATCTTCCCGAACTAAAAATAATAGCTTCTGGAATGCATCATCATAACAGACTGAAGTTTTCAAAAAGGAAAAGAGAATGACAGATCCATAACATATTGACAAGGTTGGATGTGGACTCTACTTTGTCTGACTGACCACACAGCTAGTATCATCCATAAATGAAGAGGGTCAAATTCGTACCCACGAAATGTTATCAGGAAACCGAGTCCTACATAGCCCTGGAGAAGAGTTCAACCTCATGCCTGCCATAGTATCAGTTAACGTATCTGCTTTTCTTTTCATATTCTGGCGGTGTTTGTGATCAACCAAAGGTCAGCATCAGGAATATCTCTGCCGTTAGTCAATGACTCACCAAGGCATTCATTCAATATTCAAATGGTTAACAAGTTGACACACTGTACTCGACGTGAGCTATAAATCAAATATTTCATGACTAGTTCAGCCAGGTGTTTCAGACGGTTCTCCATTACAAACCTATTACATCTTAGAATACAGTAGAATACATTAAAAGTGGGCAAAAGAGTTTCCACCTTATCCCAGCCTCCCATGACTCGAGTGTGAAGCAGTTTGGCAAGGATGTTTGTCGCATCATAAACTTAAGCGACGTATTGTCCACATGTTCTACATCTAGCTGTTTGCTCTGGCTAGCAAGCCAGAAAAGGATGGAACAGGTGAGTTCCTCATTTGCTCTTGAGCTTGCTTTATCTCCTCGGGATCTTCAAGAATAAAACAGACGGGATGTGAGGAAGGTATACGAGTGAAATCAACAGAAAATCATTGCCAGGAAGTATCGTTGAAGCATATATATTACAGATATTAATAAACTACTCCCTCCATTCCAAATTACTCGTCATAGAAATGGATGTATCTAGAACTAAAATACATATAGATACATCCATATCTGCGACAAGTAATTCGGAACGGAGGGAGTAGATAACATCTCTTAGTTTCTGTCAGTATGTATTTTGCATAAAGTAAAACTGATTAGAGAAACAAACAGCTATGATTGTAAGTGTCACTGCTACAAAACCATATATAGTATTAAAACAAAACAAACAGCCTGACACAAAAAGTATTTAGCAGCAAGCAATGTACTGTAGATAGATCAGCTGAAAAGGCAGGTACCGTGTAGTGCACATATATTATAACAACATAGATTCAGACACACTAAATACAAATCAGCACAGGTTACTTCTTTCTATTTTGAAAACATTATTACCAAACATGTCATTTAATGTTGCTATTAACTCTGAATGGGCTCAAACTATAACAAATGGAACATGCACAGCAAAGTTGAATTTTATATCTTGGCTTGTACGTTTATAACAGTTATATGTGGTGTATAGAACTCATTAAGCATGGGCCTTGATCTGCTAAGCTTCTACTTGCTTAATATACAAACATGAAGCTTCTAGTTTTTTCTTGGATGTAAAAGGTTTGAAATGTGTTTATTGCCACTTACCTATGTTCTCCATCATCTTGGGCATAACGACGACCATTAGGACCATAAAACCGACCATCATACCCATGGGGCTCTTCAAAAGGGACAAAATGTTGAAAGGCTCCCTCGGCTGGGGAAAATAGATAGACACATAGGTTGGTTAAGAAAGGATTTAATAACAGCAAGCAGCGAGGAAATAGGTTAACAAAAAACTATAGCATTAGACACCTCATAGTATTGCTCTTCTTTCAGAGGTTCCAAAACAAGCTCATTTAGAACTCTTCTGTTTTCAGTCAATGCTGCTTGAATGTGCCCTGGATTCCTGGCACTGATGTCCACTCGAACCTATCACACAACAGAATAGAGAATCAACTGTTTAGTGCCCATTCTGCTCATATTACAATGAAATTTTCTAATGAATACTCACTGGTGAAAAGAAGTAGCCAAGTGAGGAGACTTCTATCAAATGTGTCCCAGCAGGCACGTTGTGGCTTAAGGATATTAGGTCAAGGGGTAACAATAAGCACAGGAAGATCTGCTAACATTGCACATGAGCTGCCAACAGTGAAACATTTATACAAACACAATAAACTATAATTAGACACATAATGACATCAACAAATTCTTCACATATCACTCTCGCAAGATTCTCTTGTATCTTTTTTTCAAAAAGAAAAGTATTCTTAGAAAAATGGACAATTTTAAAACAATGATGCATGAAAGAACAGACTAAATTGATTAAATTAAAATAAAAGTAATTTACCCCTCATAAGAGAAGTCGAAGTAGTTTGGAAGGGCATGGTATAACATGTTTTTCGTAGGATACAAGGCAAAGTAGCCGTCTGGCCTGGCGAATGTAACTTTCTGACCACCATTAAGTATCACTTTCGTGTTTGATGTCTTGGCTGGAAGACCAAAGCCCCTTGCAGCTATAAGCACAACAGATAAAAACAACATCAGGTGGACCTCACGGGAGAACATTAGTATGTATCGGCTCCACAAACATTGAGAACTTATAATCTCTAAGTGCACGTAAAAAGCAAGATGCATGACAAGATCTGGCTGAAATCCTAATCAATTATCCAAATGCAAGGAAACCAACATAGTAACCCGCCTTAGCAATTTACAATGAGCTGAAATAACACGGCGCCAAAATCCGATGGTTATACACATGCCAAGAATGCTCTTAGTAAGACAATACTTCCAAAGAAACGCCATGCAGCATTCATTCCTTTGTGCGCTTTCAAATACCCCAAATCCTGGCCAAGAAGCATTGGCTTTGAACACTTGCGGCAGCACGTTTATCAACAGACATGTATTCTAGCAGACAGGCATTTTGATGTGCCTGTGTGGATCTGGACAATTCGTCAATTCCCCTCTCTCTAAGACCAGCTACTGAATAAACATGTTCCTACATCTGTCGATTGGTTTTGATACTCAGAACAAAAGGATGCAGCACATAAACAAACAGTAGCCACAGCGCAGCTCCAACGCGGCTCAGATTTCAAAGATGAAGTTGGATAAAATCAGCTACTGTGATGTGCCTGTAGCATGCTGCCTAAGCAACGGCGGTGCATGGTGGTGTAGCAGAGAGATCAGTAGCATCGACACGCTTGGCCCTACTTAGATCACGCGCCCATCCATGTACAGGCCCCAGAGACAATTCCACCAAATTGGCCAGGTTCGAGCCGAGCACGAAGCTGGATCCCGCCCGCCTACCCACGCACGCACAAGTTACCAGATGCATCTAATTCGAACCATGGGGGCGAGGGCACTGACCGTCGATCTTGATGCGGCCGGCGATGGTGTATCCCTCGACGGATCTGCATCCACAGGGCGAGGCGAGAGAGGGGGTCAGCTACAGCCTCCTGCCGATCGGATCGGAGAGGAGAGGAAAAACGGGCGGGAACGAGGGGGGCCTACCCGGGCTGGTCCGCGGCCGCGGGGCCGAGGCACGCCGCGAGGACGGCGGCGAGGACGAGGAGGGCGCGGAGGGGGCTCATCGTCGCCGCGGCCGGGGTCGTCGTCGTCGTCGTCGCGCGAGCACGGGAGCTTCGCTTTCTCTTCTCTCCTCCGTCTGCTGTGCCGTCCGTCTGCTCTCGGCCGTGGGCTTCTGAGGAAGGAGCCGCCCACTTCGATCGGGCCTGGACTCATCGGCCTTCATTCGAGCCGGCCCGCTCTCTCCCGAGCTCCCGGCCCACCACAGAATCTACTACGCGGGTCAGGCCATCAGATGGGGCCCACCACCAACGGGTCCAACAGCTCAAGAGGTGCCACCGAGCCCATCTTCAAAACAGGAGCAGAAAAGAAACAAACCAAGCTTGACTACTAATGAGAAGAACAACGGAAAGAACATGGTTGCAAACAAACACTCTGATGCGCGTTTGGCGGGCTCCCTAGGGGTGTCCCGCCCAGTGCAATGAGTCTCTTATGTTGGAACTGCCGCGGTGCTGGCAAACCCGCGACAGTTCGAGAGCTTCGTAATCTAACGAAGCAGTTTGCCCCCTCTGTACTATGTATCTTGGAAACTCAAATAGAGGGAACTAGAGTTGAGAACATGGCTGGTTCTTTAGGTTTCAATAAAAGTTTTGCTGTTAGTAGTTCTGGTAGAAGTGGTGGTTTGGGAGTTTTTTGGAATGAAGAAATAAAGTTGGAGATTGTTGGTTATTCTCAGTACCATATTGATGCCGTGATTGATGATCTAGCAGATGTGAAAATAAGGGTTACCTTCGTCTACGGAGAAGCACAAGTAAGCGCAAGACATAAGACTTGGGGCATGCTTAGGGGAATCGTGGGCACTAGCGATATACCCTGGCTTGTTCTAGGAGATTTCAATGAAGTTCTGCATGCCCACGAACACGATGGAGTTGGAAGCAGGAGCCAAGCTCAGATGGATGCTTTTAGGGACGCGCTTGATACTTGCGGTCCTATGGATATAAGCTATTCTGGCATAGGATGGACCTTTGAGAAGAAAGTGACTGGAGGCACATATACGCGTGTTCGACTTGACCAGGGAGTGGCGAACCCGGCCTGGACCATAGTGTTTCCATCAACCATAGTCGAGCACAAAACAGCGGCCACAAGCGATCACTTACCCATCTACGTGAGGCTGGTGCATGGCGCATGCAGGAGGGCCCCTCGCTCTTTTAAATATGAAATCGCCTGGGAGCGCGATCCGGGGTTGCAGCCCGTGGTCCAGGGTGCATGGGCGAATGGAGCGGGGGATTCTGTTCTTTCAATCAGCGACAAGCTCTAGTCCTTGTCTTCCGATTTGTCTGCATGGGATAGGACCCACTTCGGGAATGTTCGGCGCGAGATCCAGTGCATGAAAAGAGAGCTACAGGAGTTGCGCGAATCCCCAAATAGATCTGGCCCTGTGCATATTGAGCTCAAAATAATAGAAAGGCTCACCGAACTATCACAGAGAAGAAATTTTATGGCGCCAACGAGCACGTGTTGAATGGTTAATGCATGGAGATAAGAACACGTACTTTTTTCATCTAAGGGCGAGTCGCAGAAGAAGGAAGAACCAGATCAAGGCCCTTCAGAGACCCAATGGCGAGCTCACAGAAAATGTTTCAGAGATGGAAAACTTGACTAACACTTTCTATAGGGACTTGTACACCTCGGAGGGAGTGCATGATATGGAACGGGTTCTTGAAACAGTTCCTACCAAAGTCACCGCAGTGATGAACGAGTCTCTGAATGCTCCATATAGCCAAGAGGAAGTCAAGGTAGCTCTATTTCAGATGTATCCCACTAAGGCTTCAGGTCCGGATGGTTTCCCGGCGCATTTCTTTCAGCACCATTGGGACACGTGTGGGGGAGATGTCACCTCGGCAGTCCTCCGGATTGTTGAAGGAACGGAATCAGCAGAGTGTATTAATGATACTATTTTGGTCTTGATCCCAAAGGTAAAAAACCCCACGCTACTTTCCCAATTTCGTCCAATTAATTTGTGCAACGTCTTGTATAAGATTGCGTCAAAGGTGATCGCCAACAGATTGAAGCTAGTCCTTCCTGAAATTATATCTGAGGAGCAGCCAGCTTTTGTCCCGGGACGTCTGATAACAGACAACATCATCACAGCATACGAGTGCTTGCATTTCATGAAGAGGAATAAGGCCAAGAAACACCAGTCCTCTGCGCTCAAATTGGATATGATGAAAGCATATGACAGGGTGGAATGGCCGTACTTGCAAGCTATAATGCTTAAACTGGGCTTCAGTTCTAGGTGGGTTGATATAGTAATGAGCCTGGTATCCACAGTTACTTTCTCGGTGATGTTCAATGGAAAGAAACTTCAAAGTTTTAAACCTTCACGTGGTATCCGACAAGGGGATCCGATTTCTCCATACTTGTTCTTGCTTGCAGCAGAGGGCCTTTCGTGCCTGTTAAAATCCAAAAGTGAGTCATCCAACTTGAGTGGTCTACAGGTTGCTCCTACGGCGCCGCCAGTGAGCCATCTCCTATTCGCTGATGACAACCTGCTGTTCTTCAAGGCAAATAGTGTGGGGGCTAACGAGGTATACCATGTTCTGGATACTTACTGTCAGGCGACGGGGCAACGGATAAACAATGCAAAATCATCCATATATTTCAGCAAGGGTGTTCCTGACTCGGTAAGACAAGAGGTTAAAGATATACTTCAAGTCCCAAATGAGACTCTCAATGAGAAATATTTGGGGATGCCTTCTGACATAGGGTGTTCAAAGAATGGAGCTTTTAAGTACCTTAAAGATCGACTGTGGAGCAAGGTCCAGGGCTGGATTGAACGCACGATCTCCTCGGCCGGAAAGGAAGTGCTAGTCAAGTCTGTGGCCCAAGGAGTGCCGGTTTTCTCTATGTCCTGTTTTAAGCTTCCCAGAGGTTTATGTGAACATCTCAATATGCTTATCAGGAAGTTCTGGTGGGGAAGTAAGGAAGGAAAACGAAAGCCTCATTGGGTGTCATGGAAAACGATGACACAACCCAAGGGCATGGGGGGCTTAGGATTCAAAGATTTTGAGCTCTTTAACCTAGCAATGTTGGCAAAACAAGCATGGAGACTATTGCAGAATCCCGAGACCTTGAGTGCACGTATTCTCAAGAGTATTTATTATCCCAACTCGGACATTCTCGAGGCTGCGCTGGGTGGTCACCCTAGCCAAGTGTGGCGCGCCATCATTGAAGGCAGGGACACCCTTCGGCAGGGGTTGATTAAAAGAATCGGGAACGGGGAAGCAACCGATATATGGAACCAGAACTGGCTCCCTAGAGAGGGAATGTTCCGCCCATATGGTAGTACAACACCGAATCCACCGGTCAGAGTTTCCGAGCTCATCATAAGCGCTACGGCCTCCTGGAATAGATAGGTTATTCAAGATAATTTCATGCCAATCGATGCACAGGTTATCCTTGCGATTCCATTGTGTACTCGTAACATACCTGACTTCTGGGCGTGGCATTATGAGAAGCACGGAGTCTTTTCATTTAAGTCAGCTTACAAGATGCTAGTTGCAACAAAGTTAAGAAGGGAAGCATGGCTTGAGGGAGCGGCCGGAACCTCAAATGCAGTTGCAGAAGAGGGATCTTGGAAAAGATTGTGGAAGACGGAAGTTCCGGGGAAGATTCGGATGTTTTTATGGCGCCTATCAAAACACTCTTTGCCAACAAATGATGTGAGGGCACATCGCCACATGGCTGACTCCGATCAATGTAGCTTATGTGGAGCGCGGGACTCTTGGCGCCATTCTCCGTTGGAATGCTCATCTTCAAGAAGTGTGTGGGCTCTAATGCAGGAGGATATCACACATAAAATCATAGAGAACAAGGAACCAAGCGCAAGACAATGGTTGTTTTCACTGATGCAATTGTTATCACATGAGCACTTCGTCCTTACTGCTGTCACTCTTTGGGCAATCTGGCACGCACGTCGTAAGGCTATCCATGAGTCCATCTTTCAGAGTCCCCAAGCTACCGACGGTTTCGTCATCAGTTTCATTGCTGAACTAGATGCACTGAAGCCCAATGATAAGGGGAGGGCAAACGCTCCGGGATCAGGCCACCCTGGCTAGCGTCAGCCTAAGAGGCCACCAGCGGGAAGTTGCAAAATTCACGTGGATGCTGGAGTATTGACAAGACGAGGAGGATCAGTAGCGGCTGTATGCAGGGACGAGTGGGGAAACTTTATGGGCAGCTCTGCCTTGGTTATTGAAGGGGTGGTAGACCCGGCCACCCTTGAGGCAGTGGCATGTCGGGAAGCACTATCCTTGACTGAAGATTTGGGCATAACGAGCTTTGTTGTGGCGTCGGACTGCAGCCAAGTTGTATCGGATATCAATAAGAGATCACACGGGATTTACGGAGCGATTATTGAGGAGATAACCATTAGATCATCCAATTTTCAATGTAATTTTACGTTTGAGAGTCGTGCTGTGAATTATGAAGCACATAGATTAGCCAAGTTCTCACTTGCTAGAGGTCCGGGGCGCCATGTGTGGTTTGGAGTGCCTCATGACCAAAGTTGTATCCCACATCATGTGGATTTTCATGAATAAATCTTGGCTTTACCCCTAAAAAAACCAACGGGTGAGTAGAGTATACCGACGGGAACGAGCCGGCTTGCCAGTGTGTGACAGTCGTCTTCTTCCCGCCCGCTTGCCGGCCGTGGCACGCCCGCATCCCCCCCCCCCACCCACGCCACGCCACCTCCTATTT